CTTATTTCTTTATTTTCTATTCAACAAGCTATTTTTTTCTGTCTCCGAAAACATCGACAACGTAATGCATGTGTCACCTTTATGGTTTTTTCTAGTAATGAGGCAGTTCCGCTTGTTTATTCATGCATGAAATGTCCATGTACTTACAGAGTGCTGGAAAATTCCAGAACGCCCTATACGCTTTCATAGAAACGCGAAGTATAGTTGTTCAATTTTTAAATAAATTTAGAATAGCTTGCACACACCATACCGGCTATAGTCTTACGACAGATTTCGCGACTCCATCATCATTTTGCCACGGAATGATTTTATGCTGACAATTAATCTATACTTTTTATTAGAACATTCGATTCCTTGTCGAAAACTGGCGTTATGGAAAAAATTTCTAAGACTAGGGGTGGCACTTTCTCGATTCTTTCCCAAAAAGAAAGAAAACGAAAGTAGATATAACTTTCTTTTGTGTTTTCCTTTATGGATAAAACACTTAGAAGCAAAATCAAGCTCATGTTCAAGATCAGCGTCGAAAACTGAATCAAGTGATGTGTTTTGCAAAAGCTCTCCGAAAACTTTTTTTTCTTTCTTTTTGGGAAAGAAACGAGAAAGTGTCACTCCTATCTAGGACTTATTTTCACGCAGTTATAGACATTTCAAACTGAGGGTGTTCGGAAAACCGTAACAAAGCGCCATCTGCAGTGTTTTGCCTATAACTTTATGAAATTTAATCTGTTATTTTCAAGCAACGTCTCATTCAGAAGAGCGTTCAAAACTGCATCAAATAAGTAGCTTTGATTTTCTAAAACGTTGAGTCTGGATAGAAGAAAGAACTACTTTGTGAAAAAGAACGGTTTTTTGAACTACTCTTTTTTCAAGTATTGTGGTACTCAGATGGCTAACGGAGGCTGGTGCGCAGTTGAGTTATCCTTAGTTGCGCTACAATAAAATCGAATTACAGTCAATGGACGGAGTGAATCGATCTGATTCACGTTATTTATTTATAACGCCTGCGGCATAATACGACGTGTAATCAAACCCAAATTCATTTTCGCCGAATAAACTACACAGCAGGAAATTTGCTGAACTTTCGGACGCGTTATGGTCGTTATGTCTTTCGAAAACGGGGTTTCACTGCATTTTTACTAGTCCTGTATTTAAAATCGTGTTTTTTATTAGGTCGGAACATAAGTTCTGCAAGTTCGGAGTACTATTGCAATAAAGCGCTATATTTTTTTCTCATGTTACGTGATGACTCGAATAATGTGCCTTTTGAAAGGGAAACGCGTTACGATTATTTTGATATGTTGCTTTTATCTTTAAAAAAATTAAGCATTTAATTGTTTTAGATAAAATGGATAACCAAAAAATTCATATTCGTTACTGTATGCCGTACGAGTTTAAATGAGGCTCGGCGGCAGCGGCAGCAACAAGAAATATTTGTGCTGCATACGGCGAGGAAGCCAGATCTTGCATCAGCAGATTATCACTTGTTTCGATCCCTTCGAAACCATCTATGAGAGAAACACTACAAAGACTTCGATGAGCTCAATCCCGACCTCATTGCCTTTTTCGAATCATAACCTGCTAGTTTCTACAAACGTGGGATTGAACAATTGTCAGCAAGATGGGCGAAGGTTGTCGAAAATAATGGCGATTATATTGTTGATCTATGTTGCATATCTTTGTCGTAAAGTAAATTTGTTGCTGAACAAAAAAAACTTGCAGAACTTATGTTCCAACCTAATAACGCGTTGAGACCGTTTTCTACGTTTTTTCAACGCGTCGTAGGCAGTTTTAAATGTTTTTTTCGAAGAATTTGATTGATTTAATTCGTTTAAACGCATTGAGTTGGTGGAAATTCTAGAGAATGAGTTTAAACGCGTCGAGGTGATTAAAAATCGTACATGAAAGACTTCCAGATAAATCCACCGGTATACGCTTACCTGTTGAACCATAATCAGGGGGGATAATCTGTTTTTCTTGAAATAAGGTAGATTTAATCTCACACGACATTTTCATCGAACTCAAGTGACATCTAACAGTCACATCATTCTTTTGTGTATCATAAACGAATATGCTGTTTACTGCATGTAGACGCGCCCCTTATGATTGGTCTCTTAGCAGACCATATACGTGAAAAAAGAGAAAAAGATAAAACTGTCTATTTATTCTCAACTAAAATGCGAGGAATAATACTATACACAGCAGGAAATTTGCAAAAGTTTTTAACGCGTTTAAACGCGTCAATTGAAAAATTTACCATTACCATCCATTTTTCCCTTAGACAACGTCGAATGCGCAGTTTCAACGCGTTATTTTTTTCTTTAAGGTTTAGACGCGTTGAAAATATTCCTTTAAAAAGAAACGAAAAAATTTCGTCCAATTTGATCGGTATTGATCCGGAGCTTAGCTGACGCGTTTTTACGCGTCAGAATAGATCATTGAATTGTTTAAACGCATTGAGATGAACCTCAAATACGTCGAAGAGCATTGAAAAGGAAAGAAGAATTTAAAAATTAAGCTTTTGCCTTGATTTGAACACGGGATGTCACAGTAAGAGTCTTGCTGCTTACCTATCGATCCATAATCACACCTACATACATACATGGAGTAAAAACCTATATATATATTGAATATTTTTAACGTTAAGCACAATGCGTTTAAAAAAAGAGGTCTCTGTTTTTTGCCATTAAGTTTCATAAAAGTGAAAAATATTTCTAAGTTTTTAGTTTTTGCTGGTTTTAATAGCAAAACCAACCGTGTTTTTTGGATTAGGTGACTTTCAATAAAAACACTTTAATTAAGGCGTTTTTTTAATGAAAGTACCCGAACTTTTCGGTAAAAATTTTTTTAGTGGAAGCCCCGGCACTTTCATTAAAATGTCTCGTGCAAAATGTGACCTAGAGCTTCTGATGGGACAAGAATTTCATTAAAATTTTAATGAACTTTCTTTTAATGAAAATTTTTTTATGAAACTTCGATATCCTTTTTTAAAACTTTTGCACCTTATAGGTTATTTGATATGGTGAATTCCTTTTTATGATTTATTTTTGGGAAATTTTAAGTTTTAACCGCTGAACTGTTATATTTTTTTAAAAAAGATTTAACAGCAAACTTCAGACAAATATGCTTTTAGTAATTTAAACGGTAATAATCTATGCTGTCTCCACGTTCAGACATACATATAGATTGCGTATGATGTATACAGGAGATAGTTCTACTGTTGAGGATTGCTGTAAATAAATAGTTCAAATAAATGAATTTAGTCTTTTGTGAAGTACCGTGTGGGTCATAAAAAATGAGCCTCTCAGTATTTTCTGTTCTTCTCGTGTTTCTTTAAGACCCTAAGGTTAATATTTTAGTGCGCCGCGAAACTGGTAAAAGTTGATAGAATATAGGATAAATCCATAGTGAGCACTGCTTTCGAACATAGAATAAATGAACCCCTCGATAAAAATATAAAATTTTTCCTTTAAAGAAAAATGACATTCTACACACATATACAAGTACATAGCTAAGAAAAATACAGCAGACGGAAGAAAAATAAGATCAAAGAAAACAAAAAGTAAACGAAGTATGTTTGATGCACTAAGTTGGATATAGTGTGAAATACCGTGAAAACCTTCGGTAAAGGACCTTGACACAAGAAATGTCGGCACCCCAACGAGATCATTGTGTCGTAAAACGTAAGTACCCGTCTTCGGGACAGCTATATGATTAAACAGTACGTTCATTCTTGTGTTCTAAAGTTTAATTCCGTCAATAGTTTCAGGCCTGCTTCCTGTACAGAATGTGCGAAAGGTTGCACATTAGCACAACCATTAAATCGCAGAACGACTACATCGGCAATACGAGTACCAATGCTAGACACAGTCCGCATAAAGATAACCGACTGATCAAATGTGGTGAATTGATTACTGCTTCTTCTTGTTTTTCGCCGAATTGATGACTAAATATAGTGTTTCCAGACGATCTGAAGTTGGGTGGATAGATATTGACTGAGTTATGAATTACTAGTCCCGGAAATACTAGTTTTTCGGTATGCACTTTTTCGAAGTTTTGACCCTAGAAAAGCGAGATTAAATCGGAATGATCCTCGCCTTTCAGCACTAAATTTCTATTTGATCCTCTATCAAACAAAATGTCAACCGCCTCTGTAGTCCTTTTTATGACAAAATTGCAGCGATAATACTGAAAAGTACGAAAATGACCACTGTTAATGGGTCCCAAAGTTCAGACGTTCCGCACTCTGTATCGAAGCGCTTTCCAAAAGAATTTTTAATAGTTTTCTGATGAAATCGTATACGCTCTTTCAGAATCTGTGATCAAAAACGAATTTTGAAATTGAGGAGGTAGGAGGTATCTTTGATATATTCCTGAAGGCCCTCTTAATAAGGCTGATGATAATCAAAAAGCATGTGCCGAATTATAACAAGTCGTCATAGAATAAATGACGTCTCGTATAAAATTTATGAAGAAGTAGAAGAAAGTATAAAATTTTTTCATGTTCGAAAGAAGCAATGCCCACTGTGAATTTACCCTATATTCTGCCAACTTCTCGAATTAAAATTAGACTAACTAGGGAAGACCCTTCTCCACTTTTTATACTAATTTGAAGTACATGAGTTGTGCTATATATTGATTTATGTTTTAGAAAAGGCCCCTTTTAGTTTTTGCGATATGTGGCTATCAATATTGGTGATTAATGTTTAATAAATCATACTTTCTTGTTTTATATTCAACAGCTAGGCAAACTGTTCTGCCTTAGTCAGGAATTCTGACTACCATGACTTTCCGGCTTTCTCTTCGGGTCATGATAATCGGAGATAATGTGTATAGTGAAGTTTTTTTTAAAGTATGCATCGGTTTATTCACGCAGCTCGGAACCGCTTGTAAAATAAATAGAAGTACCGAGACCAAAAGTACTATACAAATATATCACAATTGATATGAAGAACGTCAATGAGTTACCGGAAGATAATGTGCCACAGCCGTTGTTAGACACAATGCATTATACAATAAACCAAGAGCCAGCAAACAGCGAAAGAGAAGGCTGTGTGGTTGATCCACTATCAGCAGATTCAGTTCAGTTGGAACAGCCCAATATCAACGCTGATGATGTGCCATTCAGTACAAGTGCTTTGGTCGATGTAAACGCAACAAATGTATCATCCGACGAAATCAATTATCACCTGAAGAAAATGTATGCGAATGATAATAACATACCGATTGAAGGCGAGATATCACAAATGGACGCAGCGTCAATGAATGAATCGAAAATCTCGATAACTGATGTGTCGCGAAACGAAGAAAAAGTCTACATGATACCTCGTTCATCAAAGCCGACCAACGAATATTTTAATCCAAATCTACTTTTGGGTAACTACCTCGTAACTCACCACAGTCAAAACATGATCGCTGTGTATTGTTTTCTTTATAGGCTTATTTCCCACTTTGTTTCCGCACGGAACAGGGGCTATTGAGGATAGTACACGTCCAGTAAAAGTATCATTCAAACAACACATTCAATATCTTCTATCGTATAGTGACAAACGATTTGAAAGGCATCATTCGTTTATGTTTGTAGTGTTTAACATCCTGCAAAAACGTAATGCCTGCTTTAATGCGCGTCTGATGGTTTCAAATCCATATTATAAAAACACTGCAAATCAAATACAACAATTAACAAGTCAAGATATTCAAAAAGCCCTCGGCAATATTGCAAAAAATACTTATTCGTCAGAGGCTAATCCAAATCTAAATACATTACTGAAACAAATTAAAACCGTTGGAGGAAAAGTGATGGGATCACCGCAATCACGTGCTGCTCGCAGAACAGAAATTCACTCACTCATTTATAGCCAAGGTCTTCCCAGCATATTTATGACCATCAACCCGGCCGACATTCACAGCCCTATCGCATTATACTTCGCTGGTGTCAACTTGAACATCGACCATATACTAACTGATACTTTCCCATCTACGTTTCACCGTGCACAGATTGTTGCGTCGCATCCAGTGGCAGCCGCCAAATTTTTCAATTTATTAATAACAAACATTTTGGAAACATTAGTCAAAGGTGGTGTTCTGGGGGGCTCTATAAAAGCTCACTATGGGACTGTTGAAACCCC